GATGTTATTGCTGAACATAACAATGGGTGACCATGTGGCACAGATTAAAATGGCTGCTTCTTTGTGCTTCTGCCTTCTCCAAATGCTAAAGGAAACGGAGTCTGGCTTCGCAGTGTGCACTTGGTCTGAGGGTGCAGGCTGATGTGTAAATGGGTGAAGTCAGTTTCAAACAATAGAGTTAGGGCATATTTGTCTCTCCAAGAGAGCAAGAACAGTATACAAAATTTTATGTTGTAGGATGACACTCCCTGCCTTGTATCAGTGGATACCACTATTTGAATCTTCAGATGCTAACAGCAAAACCACTTCAGAAATTTGATCTGAGGAACAACTTAATTCTGTTGTTTTTACAAACTTTAAACTTCAACTTTCCTGACTCTCCCGTTCTTACTCAGGAGAGTTTTTGTGATGCGGCCTAGGAGCCACTCATTCCTCTGAGATTGGCAGTCTTTCATAAGAATGACATCATCAGATTTCAGGTTAGGTCTCTCAAGTTGCCATTTGCTCCTAGACAGCAAGGTACTGATATATACTGTTTCTCCACCTGTCCGAAAAGATATTTGCAAGGAGAAATTCCTAGAAAAGGGAAGGAGTTTACTTGGCAAGGCTTCCATGCAAAGGAAAGCAGAGATAGTCCTTGACTTACGACAACAATTGAGCCCAAAATTGCAGCAATTGAGTAGTTGCCGCTCTTAAGTGAGTCACACAGTTGCTAATCTCTGTTGCTAAGAGAGACAGCCGTTCAGTGAGCTTTCACCCACCTTACAGCTGGTCTTGCCCCCGTTGTTAAGCGAGTAGTTGCAGCTCTTAAGTGAGTCATACAGTCACTAAGTGAATCCAGTTTCCCCAACTCTCCATTGTAAAGCGAGACATGGTCGTTAAGTGAATCCAGCTTCCCTGTGGACTTCATTGGCCAGGTCACAAAAGGGGATTGCACGACTCTGGGACACAGAGTGTCATAAGTATGACTCAGTTGCCAAGTGTCCCTGTCTGAATTTGGATCTCCCGGTTATGGGGAATGCTGCAATGGTCAATAAATGTGAAAGACAGTCATAAGTCCCATTTTCCAGTGCCGTTGTAACTGGAACGGATGCTAAGAGAATCAGGCTCCCCCGAATCTTAGTTGCTAAGAGAGACATCTGTTCAGTGAGCTTGGACCCATTTTACAACCTTTCTGGCCACCGATGTTAAGGGGAATCTTTGTTTAAGTCACGCAGACGATGGTTAAGCAAAGCTGGCTTCCCCAGTGACTTTGCTTGTCACACAGTCATAAAAGGGAGATCATGTTACGTGACCCCAGGAGGTTGCGACCATCATAAATGCAAGTCAGTTGCTACCAGGGGTGGGATTCTACTGGTTCTATCCGGTTCTATAGAACCCCTTGTTAATTTTCTAAGCAGTTTGGAGAACTGGTAGTTAGAAGCAATCTGCCTTTGTGTTTTTCCACCCTTATTACATTCTTGGCAGACAGCCTAGATTTGCTGTCTCTGGAGCTTGTGAGGCTTGGCTTTCTTAAAGGGGAAGGGTTGTTTTAAGATTTTTACACTGTTGTTGGGAGGAAATACTTCCCTGGACAATCAGCACTTTGAAGAAATAATTGAATAATGAAGCAAAGCTTTTAGTGACAGGGAACCAAGATGAGTGACATTCAGCAAAGCTTCTTGGTTAGCTAGAAAGATTGACATTCAAAGGTGACTTTACATATCCTTTCTGAGTTTTGGTCTAAAACTGGTTTTCAGTGAAGCTTAATTCTGTGCTTGGTGAAGTTTAATCCTGTGTTTACTGATGGGATAATTTTCCCTATTGAGCTTCAACAAGCAACAGCTAACTGTTGTGATTTTATTATTTGTATTGTGTTTGAATTTTTTCTTGCCTCATGGTTTCTTTTTCTATTTGGGGAGGGGGTCTTCCTTCACTGCTTTAATACTATCTGACACTCTCCTTTTGCGGTATACTTTCAAGAGGCAGGATGCAAGCTTGGCACTGATTTTTTTTACTGCCTTTCTGGGGGGCATATGACCTTTCCTTAAATCTGGGTCCTTAGGATATCTTTCCTTAGGATATCTTGTGAGGTGAGTGAGACCAGCTGGTATTTTTAAATGGTGCAAATGGATCTAAGGATTACTTTTCCTGGGTCAGCTCTCTTCTGGATAGCCTAAATGACCTCTCTGCTAAAGGGTTTCACTGTATGAGCAAGAGTTGGCTGTTTGATAGTTATCACTGCATTTTAAATATTTTCATTTCTCAAGGTGCTCTGGTAACCTGCCTAATTTGTAACTCCAGCTTGCAAGTATTTTTAATCTAATGATTGGTATTTAGGGCAGCTTTTTGCAAGCAAAGAAGCTTTTTGTATTTTTGTACAGGTAATCCTTGACTTACAGCAGTTCATTTAGTGACCATTCAAAGTTACAATGGCACTGAAAAAAGGGACATGACCATTTTTCACACTTATGACCATTGCAGCATAACTGCAACTGTTCTTGGTTCTGATCTGGTTCAATAGCTAGTGATCCAATAGAAGAAGGATGTTGTGGAACAAGAGTGAAAGGGTGCAGAAGTATTCATCCATAATTGAAGGTTGGGCTCCTGGGGAGAAGGAGCATCTTTGGGACTGAAACTCATGTACTGCAGATACAATAAGAAGCATTAGTTGGGTCTAGGAAGGGCCACCAATCTGAGACGTTGCATGATTCTGCAGCCCTCAATAGGGTGGTTTCTTCTTTCTTTCCTTCCTTCCTGCTATTGCCTTTCTTCTGGGCTGTTCTTATTCTATGATACTGTAGAACTGGGGTTGCTCTGAGCATCCTCTTGTTTCTAAGCTGCCTCATTTGTTTCTGTTGATTGCATGTATTTTTTTAAACCCTGCACAAAGATTAAAAAGCACAGTCCATGCCTGCAGGGTTATTCTCTGATAGGCAGAGTACAATAGAACAGGGCCAAACTGGGAGAATCCCACCCCTGTGTGTGTGTATATGTGTGTGTTTCAGGTGGGCTTCCTAGCTTTAGAAGGAAAAAGGGAAGGAAGAAGGGACAGAAAGAGAGAGAGAGAGGGAAAGAGAGGGGAGAGAGAAAGAAAGGGAGAGAGAAAGAAGATACAAGAAAGAAAAGAGAAAGGGGAAAGGAAAAAAGGGAGAGAAAAGGAAGTGAAAGGAAGAAAGGGAAATGGAAGGAAGGGGCAAAAAGAAAAAA